TTTTTTTTTCAAATTGCTGCTACCGATCGCGATCACGGTTCTTTTTTTTTTTTGCGCTTGGGGCGGCAGAAATGCTGGAGCCGGCCCTGCTGAGAAGAGATGTTATAAACACACGTACGGTCATCTCTCTCCAAACATCGTTAATATTCTTGATGCTACTCTTCTGACATAAGGGGGCTCAGTCCCTGATACCCTGACCTGTGTCTCAAATGTGAATTATTGCTACTTTTTGCTGCTGCTCCTGTCAATCTTTGGCGACTGGATTCTTAAAGGCAGCACAGCAGCTTCCCGCCTCTTTCAGGTGTGAAGCTGTAGAGAAGGGGTGTGACTGGTGCAGGAGGAGCCAGGAGTCAGAACACTAGGATGGTCACTCGCACATGCCCAGAACACCGGACGTTCCAGCACTTCCAGGAACGTCACATGACCTCATCCCCTCGGCATGGCTTTGTGTGCCCTGCATGGGAGGGGTCATTTTGAAGAGCATGTTGCCCAGCTCTCGCTGGTGTGACCTTGCACTCATGCTGGTGGTGGAGGCAGAGAAGCACACTCTTCATTATGGCATCCTCAGTGTGATACCGGAGACAACCACATCTGGTTTAATACCTCAATACCACATGGGGGACAAACAACCCCAAAAGAGGACGAAATGACCTTCTTACAGAACACATAGTGCTCTGGCTAATCCTTGGCTACCAAAATGGCTGAAAGAAACTGGTTCCTGTCCTGATAAATTAGAGCAGGCTTCAGGCTACTGATGCAGAAGAAAAAAAAAAAAGTCTTAGCAGAGGTTCCCATGGCTTCTCTTTCACCACCAATAGATGACTGGCTAAGAGGAATATTAGTTCCTGGGGATCACTAGGGAGGGATACCCAATATTCTTACATAGCAAGAAACGGCAGACTCTGTAGAATAAATACATTTTGTTCATGAAATCAGACATTTAGAGAGTTCAGATTATTGGTTCATTTCATTATGACTGCTTATGATTAGAATGCAAAGGAAAACATGTAACTATGCAATTTCAGTACATGTAACTATGCAATTTCCCTCCTGTCCCCTTAATATAAATAAAGGCAAACTTTGGAAAATGGTTTTGGGGCACTCGATAGAGAGTTTCAGAAAAATTGGGTTTACCCATAGCTGCATTGGTGTCTCAAACAAAGCAAAATTAGGCCCCAATCCTGGGCTGTTGACACTAGCACTTTTGTTGGTAAAACTTATGTTACTCGGGGTGTGAAAAAATATCA